AAAGAGGCATTGCAAAATGAAATTAGTTTCTGACACGAAAAGTGTGTAAAAAATAGGAGGCGCACTCAATTAGTCATTTGACTTTCGAGTTTAAGATTCTTCCTCTGTAGGACATGGTGTATTTTTATTTTAATGTCACAATTAGCCCAGTCAATCATGTTATTAAAATTAAACGTAGAAGCTATGGATAGTTTTTAGTTCCTATTTTTTTCGAAAGCAGAAGCCTTTTAGATGGCGTAATTTCTAATGTTTTAATAGGTGCCTTAACTATAATAGGGAGGCATATACCAACCAATAAATCTTTCCTTATTCTACTTTGAAAAGTCAACCTCCCGTCATTTCAAATGTGTTTATTTCTACTAAAAAATAGCAAAAAATCTATTATACAATAAGATTGCTTTTAGGGCTATTGTTATTTTCAGGAAGTAGAAAATGGATGTGAGGCTCAGGATGATACATTTCGCTTATTTACAATTTGTAGGTGTATTTCAAAGGCTCGCATTCTGGAGCATGCCAAAATGGAATGCATCTGCCTGCCATCCCTAGGCCACTGCCTACTGGACACAGCATTATTTTTCTCTCGCCTTGAACTCTCATTATGTAATTCTGGTAGGGTCAGACAGATGTGCTTCCAGCTAGTCTGCTTTACAAGTGGACTTGATTTCGGTTGCAAAGCCATAAAGTTAAAAACCCACACAGACGTATAGTAGCAAAGCTATAAGACTGCGTAGAAGTAAGAGAGGATGCCGCAATTGAACTAGTGCCATGGAGTCAAATGTTTTAATGTATTCGACATACCCATCAATTAAGGGCATGTAGATGCCCCACTGCCGAACATTGAGGAAAATGAAGCTCCTGTTGCGTGTGTCGCGTTTTGTAACCGAATAAAATATTTGGAGATGGTAATGAGGCGACAATTCAGTAATATAATGCTTGACGTGAGTGAAGAGAAGACATTTCAGAGTCACTTACTTAAAATTTAAAAGTGATGAAAATGAAGCAAATGCGGCTCACCTACACCCTGTGCGCAAACATCGAATGACACAAAAACTTAAGAAACTATCAATTTGACATTAATTTCCTTCACGTACATTAAAAAACTTGCAGTATACTTTAGTTTGTCAGGCGACAGTTAACATGTTTAGGATGGAAAATAGTCTTCGTGCGTGTCACAACGTTAGGCGAGAGGACAAATCATTGTTTAAAAACAATTGACTCGCTTCCAACTTAACGATTTGTGTCTTAACACATAGACTTAAATGTTTAAAATGGATTTTTTGTCTGCTAAAAGTCAAACAATGATTGCTGCTGAGGTCCTTCATTTAATATGACAAGAACAAGTCGACCAGTGAATGGAAAGGAATTTCTATTTTTATCAGATGCTGGATAATACTGTCTCATCTGCTCTTCCACATCCTCCTGATGACATTCTGCCACTTGTTTCAAAAATCTTTTTCCTTTTTGGCTGACTGTATCCTTTTAAGACAACTATTAACAATTAACAGCGATGGACATTAGTCGAAGAAATACATGGTTCCAATTTACTTGCACCGTCAGCAAAAAACACTCCCGGATTCTCCATTTCGACTTAAAAGCATAAACATTAAGTAAATAGCAGTTTCTTACCACAGCACGTCAATCAGGGGAACTTCCAACCCTAAGTGTACCGTCTTGATACTGAACTGAGAGCGACTGCCGTGATTCGGAGGTCAGAAGGAAAAGGAGATACGGGTACATGTCAAGGTACTTAGTCTTTCAAAAAGAAAAAAACAATACGATGCAGCCAGTGAAGTAGTTAAGGGTTAGGTGAATGAAGCGGCGTTAACGATCGGTGGATTTCTAAAATAAGCTGAAAGAAATATGAAGGAGTTTAATGGATTTTTCATACAACAGTGAGTTAAAAGTACGAATACAAAAGAAATGCGCAAGCCAAACTAAAGTCTAGGAAGCATAAAGTGAATTTCTTCGATGCACCAGTTTAATTTAATATAAATTATTTAGGTACGACCGTACCGTTTCATGACAACTTGCTTCACTCCGTTATTAACTGCTTCGATGTTTGGTCTATACTTGCAGTGGAAAAAACATTTAGATTTTATCAGTTAAGTATGTAGTTCATAAAATTTAAGCACTTCTAAACTAACCCTCTAACTCAATCTACCATTCGCCATTTTTACGCAATTTGAAAGTGGGAAGCCGCCATAGTTTCCTGCTTGTGCCAGCTTTCCGAAATTGACGATGGTCGAGAGGAGTTATCTTCACCCTTGCCATGAAAGAGTTTTTTTGCCCGATTTCATAGCACTGGCATAAGGAAAAGATTCCACGAGAAAAGCCTAAAACAGAACTGCCATAGCGACATTTGCGCCAGCCCATGTCACCTTCTTGCTAGTGTGTAAAAGCCCCTCGGTAGCCTCCCACTTTTAACCTTGTACGAGTAACTGGTTGCTACTCGACTTGAACGTCCACTTTTGTGCAAAGCATACACAGCCATCTATGGCACTGCATGATTATCTAAAGGATTTCATGCACAAAAATGACTAAAATGATTTTGAAAAAAATCCGAAGAATCAAGTTTTAGAAGAAATGCTCCCGTAGGAGAAATGTGAGATTTCATAAAAATCTCTAATTTACTGTCCAAATAATGTTACCTTTTGCCATAAAGGTAATGTTTCAGCTTGTGATGCAAAACTTTTGGGATTTTAGAAAAGTTTAGCATACAACCGCATCTACTAAGTTTCAAAAATTAGTCTACATTCCAAAGGATTTATAATTTAAAATCTATGGCTTAAAAATGCTTTTTTGCTTGACAAATCCTGCGGCATTCCTCCGTTTTAACAAATGCAAAATCACCCAAAACTCACAGCACAAGGTCTTGATTGACAGCAGGTGAGAGGAGGGGGAGGCGGTGGTATTTAACCAATGCGACTGCCTCTGCGAGTGCCGTGGGAGGTAGATGTAGAGAGAGATAAAGTAGACCTGTGGCACCACAGCAGCGACAATTACAAACCTCATTGGGCACTTTTTTCACTGTACTGGAGAGACATGTGTCAAGTAGTAATTGGGTTAGTGCACGCACATTCAAGGAAAGAAACATATTTAGGCAGGTTCTGGCAGTGTAATTACTCGTTTTGTTTCGCTTTGCATCGTGATGTCGCAACCGGGCTCCCGAGCTAAAGTGGAGGAGTGTAGCAGAAGCAAAGAACTGAAAAGAGGCAAGGTGGCTCAATCAACACGCAAGGTGTTCAGTCTTGATGCTTTTGAAAGCCGCCCTCATGATCTGCTTATCTCCAAAATGGATGAAGTTCTGAAATCAGAGGAGGAGAATGTTGTAATTGCGTGCGGTGTGAATAATAAAAAGGCTACTCTGATTACGTTACGATTTGAAACGAAGGAGGAATTTTCAAAGGTTCTTGGGATTTTGGAAAAATATGCTAAACCCAAAAATGCAGAAATGGGTAGTCTGAGTCAAGAAAAGGTATCTGAGGTGAAATCTAAATTCAAAGAACATTTCGAAATGGGATCAAAGAAGACTGGGAATGTTCCACCTGAGCTTCGGACATCGGTATCTGTAGCCAACCCATATTTCACCTCTCGAAATCCTAATCCCGATTCACCCAGTATTTCACAGAGCTCTTCTGTGCAAGATTCATCGTCCATTACAGTGATTACTTTAACAAACGGGGAATCAACTCCGAGTTACACGAACGGGATGATTACATTACCGCGTAAGAATTCTGCTAGTGAGGATGACAATCGGTTTGATGGCAACTCGTTGAAAGGATTTCCCATTTTCAGTAAACGAGGTAATGCAAGGCAATCAGTGACCCCAAAACCTCCATCCAAGAACCTATTCAATCCTCTTCCGCCCGTGAAGATTGTGAGAAGAGCAGAAAAAACGCCTTGTCAGGGAATACTTCACCGACAATTAAGCCTAACTTCAGAGTGCTCTACCGAAGCCAAATCACCCCGGCCAAGACTGATGCGATCGCCGACTCGAAGATCTGGGTATCAACCAATTCCAGTGCGGCGTCTGCACTCTGGAGCTCAAAGTTGTAGCTCCAGTGATAGCAGTAGCGGTTACAGTGAAACGCGTTGTAGCAGCAGCAGAGACAGTCCAACAGTTAAATTTTATAAAGGCGTCGAATTTATAGTTCCACAATGTCCTCATCGACACTTCACATCAACTGTAGACAATGTGTGGGTGTACAATGAGCCGGTTGGCTGTCAAAAGTCCATAGTTACCAGCTACCCCCTGAAACCGTGGCTATGCTTTCATTAAAGTAGTCATTTTGTTTGGTTTAGGCATATAATCAAGACGAAAAATCTTAAATGGAACTTTTGGAGAGCAAATGAAGGCTATGATTTACTTTTGCGTTAGAATCAAACGGGGTTTGTGTTTCTATCATTTAGCTTTTCGAATAAATCTGCTGCTATATGGTGTCAACTTCATGAATTTCCATGGTTGAAAATCGGCAATCGAAGTAAATTATATTGCCTTTGGGTTAAAGCAGATTTATTTTTTATAATAAAGCTGAAACCTATATCTCTAATTTATTAGGCTTTTGTATATTTATGCCACGTCTATTCAATTTTGTTGTATATTGTTCCATGTAATGGCAAAACCAACTAGGGTCTGCTTTTGTGCTCCCTTACTTTCAAATAATAGTTGCGAATATCCAAGTTATTAGTGCCGTTGAATGATAGCAAATTTAATTACCTATTTCCGACAATTCTTTTAAAATTAAAAAACGTTTTAATTTATTACAAAAACCGGAAAATGCTTTGTTCCTAAAAGCCCCATTGTGAATTCAACCGAATACGCTACCTAGAGGGAACAAGGCTGTCGCTCGAGTTTCTCATAATCTACTTATTTTACGGCCTTTACCTTAAAAATTATCAAATTCCATAGAAATCAACACAGGGGAGGGTAATTTTACGTAAAAACAGCAAATATTTAACATGGGATTGAAACAAGTAAAAATGTGCTCATTTACTGGAGCCAACACCTGTCGGATTCCCTTAAAGCCCATAACGGGAATCGCAGGACTGCAATTAAATTGTCCAGGCTTCAGATATGTCAAACTACGTTGTACCATACCATTCATGTACTGGTCTCTCATCTCATTACAAAAAAAACCAAGTAAATTGTCTAAAGTGTCATCTGCTTTCTGGAGTCAATGCACATGTGAATAAGGAAGTCAGAAGGAAAAGTCGATGAAAAGAGAGGCGGCAGAGGCTAATCACAAAACAAAAAAAGCTTTGTCGTGTTTTTGACTCACCCTCGAGCTCTTTTTGTAAAGTGCGCATTTAATTATGATGTCTGCGTTCCTATCATTTTTTACCTTACAAAATTAAAACGATCCTTGGTAGCGGCTACAAAACCTGAATGACTTCCCCACAACATTTTAGTGGTGACGTGGATCTCGTAAACCTTTTTATGTAGTTATTGTAGAGTTAATTTTTTAATGTTCTTTAAGGATACAAGACAATTCTATGCTAAAACGACGTTTTTTTTCAACTTAACCCCTCTTCGATCCTTCCATTGCCTCGGTTCGTACTTATCTCGAGTAGTCAATCAAAACTCATTAATATTTCATAAAACCTCACATCTTTACATGATATGATGAAAACAAGCAAGTACGACTCGCTTTTTTTAAGATAACTGAAAAAGAAAAAGCTTTATTGATAGGCGTAGGCATAACCCTCGTCATTCCTCCCGTCTAGCTCCGTTTTTTAAACCTTGGATCAAAAAAGTTGATTTTTTTAAGGCACAATGCGGTACGTAAATGAAAGATTACGAAGGAAGTAAAGGTCTTAAGAGGAATTGACGTTTGTATTCGTCTTGGAGACTAAAGATATTGCCTCAATCATCAGTTCCATCAAATATGGCGACTTGTTCTGCAAAAGGCTTAATCAAACAAGCATATACTTCACTTGTATTGGGATGATTTAAACAAAGCAGGCTTATTTGTTAAGCCAGGTAAAGAAATATTTTAGTGTTTATTTTGCTGCCAACATATTGCGGATTGCATCATTTTAAATTACATTTCTTTTAAGGGGTTTCTGCTTTACATAAAAATTCTCATTCAGAAGTAAAATACAGATATTCTAGACAAATAATGGGTTTGAATTTCTTGTGGTGACAAAAAAACTTGCCGAATGCGCAAAACGACCTTGATGCATTTTAAAAGAAAATATTTTACACATGAATATTTTTCATGAAAATGCAACTATTTTAGGTCATATGGTCCTTTATTTAAGTTATCTCAGTTACTTGTTTACAAAAAAAATAGTTGAATCCTAATAGTTTTATCGGAAACTCATTGCATATTGAGTCTTAAGACACTTAATTGTAACACTTATAAGTAATTAAGCGGCTTCGTAGTTTCCTTCACATCCGTTATAGGGACTGTGAAGAGAAATACGAGGTACCACCTGTGTTTCCCTCAAAGACTCATCTGAATCAGACAGAATCACAAGCCATAAAACTATCAAACTGAAAGAGGGATTAAATGAAATTAGATTGGTAATGAGATTTGCGCAGTGTCACCTACACGTAAGCTTTTGCAGACTGAGCAAGTAAATATGCTTCTATACAGTAAATTTGATAATCCTCATTGTCTCAAAGTCATTTGACAAGGATGGGGGTAACTCTTCAGTCAAGGCAATGAAATGGTCTGGAGGAGACTCAACTTGTGAACTATGTAATTATTCTATATTTTGTTAATTTGGCACCTGATGACCGCACTGTTTTGTGACAAGAGTACAAGGACAGAAATTCTTTTTCAGTCAAAAAGACGATGCTATTAAAAAAAATAATGGTAGTTAATATGAAAATTTGAGCATGAAATCACGAAGGGTTGTTTGGGTTGCACTCTGACCCAGGTCGACCCTTTAACTTCCACAGAGCACACTTTGGTCTTCTTTCCAATCCATCTCTAGCTATGGCTCATTGCTACTTAGGACAAGACTGTAGGTGCTGTAGTTTGGCATCTGACACTTTTTGAAAATCTTAGTAGGTGTTTTTGAAAAACATTCATTTGTCATGCAGTTGTCTTTAAAAAGTCAGTGTGAAGTGCAAATATATGATAAAAATGTTGGATTTGTCCAAATATTTATTTTAAAATGGACTCAAAATGGTTCCTGAATTTAAGTAGCATGTGTTCTACTTCAAGTCTAAGAACTGTTTCACCGAGTATCTTGTCAGTGTACAGTTAACAAACATCCAGCTTTCAGTGTAGGACAGCAATGCATATTCTCTCCTACACATCTTACAAAGGCTTTTATTCGTTTTGTTTTTCCTTAGGAGAATCTGTTCCTACCTTTTTTCAGATCCGTGTTGCATGTTTATAACTTGAAGCTTTATTTACAGCAACAATAAATGCATGGCATAGGTTCTTGGAAAGATAAACGACAAAATGAAGGCCCATTTGTGCAAACGTCTTACTCACACACACACTCACGTTGTGTAGAAATATAATGTTTAACCTTGTGTACACCTATGGGGATACTTCGAGCTCTGTAGTTGTACTTCTGCTCTGTTGCATGGCCTCTAGGGTCTGTTTGTGATGGTAAGGAGCATACGTTTAGTCATAATGCTTTAGTTTATTACGAATTCAAAGGAGACCAGGAATGTCACGGTTGTGGGTTGTGAATCTCAATGTAAACGGCTGCCCTAGCTTTGACCACTTTACTTAAATTTCTACAGCGGCCGCAGATCTTGTTGATTCCTTGACCATTTGACTGACTCGGGCTTATTTTTAAAGCAGCAAATCAGCTTTCAAATACTTCCTAGAATAGAGTATAAATCTGAGACCTGAGTGCGTGACTTTTCAGTGCTGCGATGTTCACGGAAAAAGACCGGAACATAACGTATTGTTGAAAAAACTACAGTAGAAATTTTCTCAGACTTTCACTTTCTACTGTGCCTCATCTAAGTTTAGAACCACAAAACTTCACAAGTGTACACGAACTACAAGCAATACATTCTTTCTCGAAATATCTTGACTTGGCTACCGTGGTTGTGAGAGCGGTTTTACGGCTCATAAAACTATTAGAAATTGCGTTTGTTGATATTGTCTTTTTGGATTTAGTTCTGTGTTTTGCATTCATCAGATTTTTATTTTGACAGATACTTTTAGAGGTTGCTACCCTTAGTTCTCAAATAATATCTGACTAAAATTTAGGCCGGTTTGCAGTTTATTATTTTTTCTTTGCCGTAAATTGATGTTTTGTTCACAGTTTCACTATGGATATCCAAAGAGGTTGGCTACTTCCTAAGAGAATTTGCATGGACGCAGCCTCTTTGCCATCAATGTGAGTTCCTTAGTCTCGAAAAATTTTAGGCTCCGCGGCGCTACAGTAGGGCTGATTAAAAATTCAATTTTCATACAAAGATTTTTGGTTGTTTAAGTCAATTTTAAGATAATGATCATAATCTCGAATATTTGGTGAGCTCGGAAATGATGATTATACAAGTTCCTCAAGCATCATTCGCCTTGGATGGATTGCCTTTAAGAAAAAATGACATTTGGTTTTTCACAACATATTGAAAAAAAGCACTCTTATAGCTCTCATGTCTACCAAGTTGTACTTATGTTTTACATTTACAAACAGAGTGATTTAGGTAAAAAAGTGCGCTGAACACACACCAAAGCCATAATCATTCATTACTTGAAATATTTATGGAGAATCTGAAGTAAGATTAATTGTAAAAAGGTTTGCTTGAAAAAGAGAATTATTCTGTGGTTGTATAACTGCTCTTTAATGATTGCATTTTCGTTATTTTTTGACAACCTAATTAGAGGTAGCGAAGACGGATATCTGCCTTCAGTATTAATATTGCCAAGTGCTTACCAGCCTATTTATCGCAGGCGTTTGTGTGAGAATAAAGGTACTTTAGAATTCTCAATAAATGATTGGTGAATTCCAAATTAAAGTGATAATTACCACCAAGCGGCGCTTCACTATTGGCTGTTACTAGCCTGACTCAATGGATATTTAGAATTTCTTTGCCTTTCACGACTCGTCACTCCGTACGTACATTAGAGAAAATCGTAGCACCATTCTCTCAGAGCCATGTCTGATAAGAATAGTCTTAGAGGCACCGTGGATCATATTAAAATACAGAAGTTCAAAAAGACAAAGGGCTATGAATCTAAGTTGGACAAACTCTATGAAAAGGCCTTGAAGGCAAAACCGGGCAAAGAGAACATTGAGGTAAAATCAGTGGGTAAATCCATGAAGTTCAAATCCTTTGGCAAAAAACCCTCTCCGGTTAATGCTATCGACTATGAAAAGATAAGGAGCCTCAAGAAATCCTCTCCCGCTGATAGGGTTGTCGCCTTCGCCTACCCGGGACCGGATGAAAAATCACCTATTTTGCTGCAAACGATGCGATTTAAGGAGGAGAAGGCTTACAACAGCTTCACAGAGAAAATGGAAGGTCGTGTGCAATCTCCACCACCCTCGCGCCCTCAATCACCTCCATATTCTGAACGCCCCACTTCTGAGCATCCAGCGGGCCCTACAACACCTCCTACAACCGAGCGAACCAAGAACATCAGGACTCCTCCACCTTCTACTCGCTACTCATCGCCATCTTTCTCGTCTTCTTTGTCATCTTCCACTTATCGTCGCAAGACACCAAGACATCATTCGAGCAAACCAAATCGTTGTGTGCAATCCTACATTTCTACAGATGGCCTATATCAACCCTCTCATAGGAGAGCTCGAAGCAAGAGCCCTATTATAAGAATTCACTCGCCCTATCAGACCACCTACATCACGACTACCTCAAGATTTCACACATCACCACCACAAAGTCGGGCGTCATCAGCCAGACAGAGGAGGTCACGACCTTCAAGGCCACCACAAAGGCAAGTCAAAGTATGCACGATCTATAAGATGTCAAGAAATGCCAGATCGGGAGGCAGTTATAGCTCCTCTTCCGATAAAAGTTCTAGTACAATGACTGAATCAAGCAATTCCAGTGCCTATTCAAGGGGTTCATTTAGATTGCGGCCAAGGGTTTACTACACAAGCAGCAGTAGAAGCAGCAGCCGCAGCAGCAGTGGTTCAAGTTCAGACGAAGGACCAGAACTATTTGGTACATCCATTCCAGAAAGCCGATCCTTTGTCATTTCGCGTTGTACCAGGGATGGGCATTCCACAATGCGATGTCGTCCGGTAGGAGGCATCACAGTGACAAGTGAGACTCCCAGTTTTACCTACGAGGCCTAAAGTCGGCTACTAAATGAAACATTGTGCAACTTTTCTCCCTCTCTTTCCCGTTTCTAATTCTCCTCACTTCTTTAGCATCTTTCTTGTTTTTTTCTGACTCGTAAAAATAGACAATTTTTAAGCTTGCTTGATATCCACAAAACACCACATGATTTCCTTACTTTGATTCACTTATACTAAATAGAATTATCAACAATGTCCTGGTTACCGATTTTTGTGAATATTATTGTTAAATAAATGGGTCTGATTTGATTGTTGCCTTTTCTGTTTAGTCAAAAAATTTTGTTTTCAGACTAGTTGATTTTACTGGGTTGCATGCTTGCCCTCAAAATTTTGGGAGACCTTAAAGGCCAGTGGGAAGGGGGTTTGCTTTCTCATCGTCTGCAGCAAGATTACATTGGCAACCCCTACTGTAGGCATCCATGCGAATCCAAGCGTAGCTCACTAACTTCACATGAGGTAGATTTTTTGTGCTGTGGGTGCAGAAACACACTCATTTAATCATTGGTCAGGTGGTACGGTCTCTACTTGCAGCTATACTAATCACCGACTCAAGGAGCCTGAAATCCATGCGCCTTCAAGAAATCAGGTAGAATCATGATGTTTTTGAGCTCTAGGGGCTTAGCTCTGCCCTAATCAACGGTTTTGTCTATAAGGGAATTACATTTTATCACTTAGTATGCAATGGATAGCATGAGGGGGGATTTACTCATTGCCATAGGGCGCAAGCACACATGTAGGACAAAATGAATAATTGTGATACATTAAACGGCGCAGTGAACCATCTTTTAAATGGCTTTTTTATGTTACGTTGAGCTGACCACTTAACAGGTTTCACTCACAAGCGTTCTTATAAACCTACAAATGGTAGAAAAGGCCACGTGATACGAGCTTAGATTATTTTACCTAACAATGAGGTATAATACGTGTAATCTCAACGCCTCAGCATTACTGTAATGCATAGAAACATGCGTACCCCCTAAGCCATGCATCTAATTGACACCTTGCAATCGGACCCTTAATAAGACCCACCACATCAAGATGATTAATCCGTAATTTTATGAGGAGTCATTGAGAGGTCTGACAAACCACCCATAAAGTACAGCAGTAGTATTTCCCATAACATTGTCAAATCCGCGGTTCAAGCTACCATCAAACATTTGTCCTGCTGACGTACCACTAATGACAATAAGTAAATCTTAAATTGTAGTTCAAATAGAGTACCAAAATACAGTACTAAAAAGTTTTCTGGGTTCGTCAACTAAAAAATGGGTTTGTTCTTTCCTTTGTTTAAGCGTTAAAAACACCTTGAAAAGAAATATCTAGCCAGAAATAAAAATCTCATTTCCGCCACTCTAAACACTCTTTTTCACAGGTAGTACCTAGCTTAGGAATATTTGATAAAAGAAAAACCCTCCTCTAGTTTTAGTTGCATTCTGTAGCAAAAAAGCCAAACTGAAATATTCTACAATGTCTGACAAAAGATTACACTTACTGGAGGCTAACTAACATTTCCCGAATATGAAACTTACGCGACTCCAAAAGACTCAAACCTAACAAGACGATGGCAGGGCACTAGATACGGGATACACGTAAAATTTGGTACCGTGGTAAGATTTGCGGTAAGCACTGCCACGCTTATCATTCAAGCCTGACCCATACATACACACGACAACTTTCAAAAACATCCCAATTTTGCATTTCAGCCTAATTAAATTACGTCTGAGGACGGAGCTGGAGTACAGCACATTGCAAGACCTTCACTGCATGGCAGAATCATTAAAAAAATAAATTGGCAGGTAATCTGCGTGTAATTAAAAACACTAAGTTATTTTAAAAGAGGTTTTTGGCTAAACAATACTTTGTTTGATTAATTATCATTTCCAGAAGAGTTAAAAGGTTAAAAATGTCATAACACTTCACCCAGTTAATAAAAATAAAAAAGACAACAATTTACTTGCAATTTCTAGTAATAATTTTTCTTGAAACTATATTTCAGTAATTACAAAACACAAATGGCTTTTGGAATTAAAGTACAACATCATGAACACAATATTTTTTCTATTATTAACAACATTACATTGCTTTGATTCCCATTACTCTTAGTATTTCGCTTTTTAAAATTTCAACTAACACGGTTTTTACCTTTTTTTGGCAGCTTAAAATGAGTTGGTGACTGTCAAAGCTTACAACAATTCAAATAGGTCAATTCTAAAGTTACTCGTATAAAATCCGCTTATTTGTAGCACAAACTAACATCAGGATTGGCTAACCTAAAGTGGTAGTTTAGGACACTTTCTCGGCTCATTGTCACGTGTACCAAACAAGGGCTTCTGTTATTTTCCCGTACTCTGAGGGGGATTCAATTTGAAAGCACCTCGCAATTATTCACATGGGGTAATGCAGTTGGTGTATTTTCTCTTTGTTATGTAGACATGTCTTTTGACAAATGAAACTGGTGCTAATTGGTGACTACAATTGCAGTTGTTACATTCACAAGCATGGCACACAGGGGCGTCAGATATCGCGCAACCTTGGAGCAACAAAAAGGGCGGTTTAATCGTTTGTTTAAACTCACCTAAATGCAAATTCTCATAAATTTGTTGCAATATGATGCTCAAAAGAGGCATGCTGGAATAATATTTATTACCTAGTGGTATTTTTTTAAAGGTCATTTCGGCAGATGTTGACTTGTGTATTTTTTTTGAACGAACTTGGAGTTAGTAGAATGGCTGGAAACAAAGTCATGGGTTCAAAAGAACCAAATACTTATAATATCACCTCCCATATCTTTTAATCTTGCAATCTGTGTAATACTGAACTAGCTTTCATGGCGATGGTGACTGGGATAAATGTGACTTGAGGCGTTCAGCTGACCATTTTGACTTCAAGCATCCACTTGACAATGAGTGAAGGCACTTGTTTTAATTAATTGCCAAACGTAGGTAATCTTCATTTAAGTGAGTATTTCCAAGCTCGTGATACTCATGACTAAGATCGAACTACGCACAACACAAAAGGGTACTTTTTGTGATTTTAAGGGTAGCTGCATTGCTTTTTTGGAACGGACGTCAGGTGAGGGTCTTGCACTATACTTTACGGGGTCAAATGAAGCGACTTTTCTAAATACACTACTAAATTAGCGTAGTAATTCGTTTTCATTTAAACGTGACCACGTTACTATTGAGAGAGTAATATTATTGGTTTATTTGCTAAGAATGAGCTAGAGTAATCACATAAATGTACTGCAAATGAAATCACTGCTCTCTACCAAACAGGATGGAAAGGTTAACGCAAGGCTTTCCACAACTGTTTGATCTCCTTTGCTTTATATGAGTAAAAAATTAAGCAATGCTCAAGATTTTGGTGAGAAAATTAGTTCTTCTGACACGAAGACGTTGCAGTTAGGTGAAAGCAACATTGCCTTTAAGAGGAAAGTTTTTTAATGATTGCTTGAACATGGATAATAAAGCTTTTTTTGTCTACGAGGAAATTGTTTACTATAGGATGCTTTTTTGCCATTAAAATGCTTCAAAGCCAATAACTACAAAAAAAAGAGCTTGATGAGCTTGATTAATTTAACTTATTTTCCTTGCATTAACCCGCCTCTAATGGACTAGAACCGATCGTAGTTTACGAAAGCTTCATCACTTACAAAGCATTAGTAAAATATTTTACCATTTACACTTGTGGAATCAATCTGTTTGCTTAAAATGGTGCACTTTTAATCACGAATATTTACCATGCGATAATTTGATTGTTTGCTTAACTTTTAGTTTTGGTTAAACTAATACTGAGGACACGGTCATTGCACATCCCCGCAGCGGCACGTCCTATGGATCCTACCAATAGCCTCTCAGCCCCTCTAAATGTCGTAAAAACATATTTTGTTCACGTATATCATATCTTCTCTGGTCGCCCGGGGTGGTTTCGACGCCCTACAACCCCCCTCAATATTCAAAAAAGTTCTCATAAAATTTGAAACAGTACTGTAACCACCAAAACCTATTCTTCCAATTCTAAAACAAGCAAATTTTTTCAAATAAAAGTCGTACCCCTATTAAATAGTTACCCGGGTGCTGAAGTGCCCCGAGACTTCCCTGCAGGTAAAAGGAGACATAATACTGAGGCAGAATACATATATGTGTATATACATCGACTTATAGTTGTTATTAGGGCCATTGGCATGTTCCAAAGACTATCTTACCCGGCAGGGTACAATGGTGGAGCACCCAAGGGGTCAGTCTACCAAAACCGAGAGTTAAACTAGCAGCCAACGTATTGCAGTTGCGGGTTCGAAGATTAACTTAGTTTGCAGGACGAGTGCAAAAATAGCACATGAAAGGTCCGAAAAGTACTTTCAGTTAACAACTAAAATAATATCTTTAGAGGCTTAAATGCATTCTAAAATTAGTGTACTTAATCAAACTAAAATTTATTTTGAAAGAGGTGAGCTAAAGCAAATTGTAGTCAATAAGTAGAGCAAACACAGACGTTTGGCAGATTTTATTGGTCTTCTTGTAGTTAAAAAGCCGCTTTTGTACATAGTAACCATGCCAATTATCAGTGTCACACTAAAGAATAAAATTGACGCCAGCATACGCCCCATCCATTGCCTTCTTTGCAATCGTAAGTCACAGACAAGGTGACAGGCTATTGAAAAAGAGGTGCCATAAATTCCAGTCCCCGGGTGTCACCCTACCATCCACTGAAGAGATATTATACATTCTACTAACAACAAGTCAAGGGCAATTAATTTATTAAGGTTCGGTGTGATTGATTTGACAAGGCGGGTGAAAAGTGAGTTTGCCATGATATACACTGTTGACTAAAATTTTTGGAATTTAGCTCCAGCAGTCGTGAATTATTTTTTAACTTAACATCAACCTTAATGCAAGGACTTGCTAGAACTGGAGGAAACACGGGAAATAACATTCTCTATATGCAGTGGTAATTACAGGTTTGTGTCCTTTCATCAATGCTCTATGCTACTCTTCAAAGTTACTCTCTACTACCTTCGCTTTTCCTTCAACTCTCGCCGTGCAATGCGTCGGATAGACCTAAAGCATGCGATTCCAACCTGTCTGAAATGTCACAGAGGCCATTTTCTTGTTAACTCCTTACGGTATTTGAAGAAGGCACAGTATGTGAAGGCAGAATGTACCACTCAGAAGGAGTTTGAATAAGTCGAGTGAATCTGGTGACAATCACTGCAAGATGGCTGGGCGAAGTTGTACACGCCTTTCGCATTAGTGATGATGAAGGGGGAATACTCGGCCATGGTAATTGAAATACTTCGAGAAAAGGGTATTTAGATCAACTCACGATTACCTTTGAAGTATGTAAGAAAACAATTTGTTGGCATGGAAATGTTAAGTGAAGGATCGTGTCATTGGTTATCTCCAAATGATCCGTTCAATACCTTCCCATCACTTCTAAGTCACGCACTCTCAAATTTCCCGAGGGCTATGACTTGTCAAAGAGCGTGCGTGCGTGCACGTATGTGTGCGTGTGTGCGTGGCAGACTGCGAATGGAATTTTTTACTTGCCGAGGGTCAACCAACCAAACCTGAGTTCGCCCTATCTACCCAATATTATTAAATATAACTTCAACCTGTGCGCGACCTCCTTCTCCTTAAGAGACAGGTAGAAACAGTTAACCAATTGGTGCCAACATAAAGCCTCATATCTCGCATCGCAATAAAACGGAATGGTGAAATTATGGTCACTCCAGGATGGGATGGGACTTAAAAAGTGGGGTAGCACCTTCGAGGTAGTTAGATAGCAGTACTAGGACAGTGATTGTAGAAATATTAACTATCAAATCCTCTTTGATATACACATGCCAAAAAGCACTGCGCGCACACACATCTACCCACACGCCCAACCAAAAGTCAGTAAAACAAATAGGTGGTTAGACTCACATTTTAATCGCTCATTCTGCAAGAGGCAAAAATAATCACACGGGCGAGTTACATTTTATTCGGGCTGAATGGAGGAACCGGAAATCATCAATGATCTGCTCTATTTGAAACGCGAGGAAAGGAAAGTTAAACTGTTAGAGAAGATCATGGAAAAGCGGTTGAAAGGAGCAATTAAGGCAAAGCCGAGAGCTTATGCAGTGAAGCTCTACAAAGACTGCATCAAGCTGCAAGGACATAAAAAGGTGATATTTCTAAACAAGGTGAAGGTAGTGAAGCAATTTAAGGACCATTTGGTGCTGGTTTTGAGTAGTGAATCCAAAGCTAAGTGGAAGCACTCCCTGACCACAATGAAGTTCAAGACTCCCGATAGCTATGCTAGTGTGCTGTGCAGTTTAACCGAAGCCATGAAGGCTCAGGAGAGTCAAGTAAAGGAAAATGGATCCCAGCAAAGAAGCACGGAATCAGAACAGGGTTTATCAAAGGGGAATCTTAGTGAAAATGACCCGGTTCCACCAGAAAGCCTTTGTCTTCCAAGGGTAAATGTGCCCGAATCAATAGAGTACCCTGGATACGTAAAGAATGCAAAGAAGTTTTATTCGTTGGACAGCGGTACTGCAGAACAAGCAAAAATGGAAGAGTTAAGGAGAGCTAAAGGGAGACGAAGGGTATGCAGGACAGCATCAAAGAGATTTCTGAACACGGGATACACGGCGAAGAGAAGCACCAGCTGGAATGAGGATTCGGACCATTGTAGTAGTTTCACCTCGGACCCCGATTTTTACTTTGAATCGAGTGACAGTGAGTCGGATAGCACTTCGAGATACCACTACAAGAGAGATCGTCAAAATAATAAGGAATTCAGCCTGGTTGTTCCGAAATCCAACGATTCAAAAGAGTTTATTCAAGACAGTCAGGGAAATTTAGTCCACGTTATCAGACCGCGGACGACCCAACCCAGGAGTATGGTCCGCTAGTTATAATATTTTGATGTCAATTGTTCACTCCAAAAAAAACTGCCCATTTTTTTCATCTTAATTTGTGGTACATGTAAGGGGAAACCCGTAATTTGTTATAAGATTTTCCCATGGAATCTTATTTTGTTTAACTTATGTGGAGCAACACGGCTGTCAAGTCCTACCTTTAGTCAATTTACCCATCTCCTGAATAAAACATCTCTAGGCAATGGAAGACAGATCACATGAATGAGAAGGAGAGTAAGACACACCAGAAGATGCTTTCTTTTTGCGAAGTGAAATAGTTGAGTGGCTACAAAACACAACAGTGGAGAAGCAGCTAACTGATAGGTGGACCCCCATCCGGTTGGTTTGTGATTTCGATCTCTTAGTACTTAAACGCCGTAAAGGTTCAATTATTGTAGTAGGTGTTGCTTTTCTGTACTATAAGACAATTTCAGCCTCGTTAGCTAGTTCGATGACAAGGATGCTAGGGATTCCTTTAGTGCGGTGTGAAGTTTGACTTGAATTCTTCCCAAAATAGGGTGTAGTGGACAAGGATCAGCAATGGATAAAAGGCTGGTTGTCCAGGGAATTAGTAAGCAAGTAATAAGAGACCGTCGAAGCATGAAGAGCTTGGAGCTTCTGCCATGAGATGAATGGCCATATTCCAAGAAGTAGGGATAGCGTTTATTTTTAATGCAGGCTCATTCCTCATTTATTCCAGCAAAGCTGAACCATCGTAGGGCAGGTCGCGTCAACGCGCCATCGGCGGGGTTAAAGGTGATTGTTGATGGTTGGTTTTGCAACCTCCGTACAATTCTACCTCATGCTATTGCTTTCATCAGGCGTTCTATGGAGGAATTTTTATTTTACAGAAACAATCACTATCGAGATCATCTTTGACTTTGAGATGTTGATGTCACCTAAATGTCTTACTGTTGAACGGCCCAACACAGCATCATCCACACGTACTTTTGTCCATCTCCAAGACAGCCTGCTCCATTTCGCTACCACCATTGCCTACCCTTATAATGCCCAAACTGGACTAGTTTAGAATATATGTGTCTGCAATTGTAATACAGTTACCATTTTTAAGGAAAGCCAGTGTAGTATTTTACTTCAAAGTCCCTTTTTGAATCGAACGTCCTCTGAAATGGGTGGTCTAGGAAACTCATAGCCGAGATGACAGTAAGTCATTTTACGGAGAAGTGCTTTTTCTTAGAACTCACAGCAGTAGAATTAATTCAACTTGAAGTTAGAAGGAAAGCTTCACCGAGAAGGCGGCTAAACATGTGTCAACGAGAGCCACCTATCAATTTTGCAGATAGGTTAAGTGCGCAAATATTTTCGCACAACGTTTGCCTATCTAATCACAAGGCAAAACTTAATTACCTTAGAGAAAAATGATTTATGTAGAGGTGGTGTACTCTAATATACATTGGGCAGATCTATCTTCCCGACTCTCCCGTATCGTCATGGGCGTGCGCCGCTCACGCTAGGCCCACCCACCTAAAAAAGTGGATCAGCAGACCTTCGGTACTTAAAATCATGGATTCGTTGGTACCACCATCAATCCGTCAATCGAGGAAAAAGTCCAGTTTGCACAAATTCTCCGCGTAAGTCATAAACATCGTTTGGGTAACTATAAAAGTAGAAAAAACTCATAAAACTGTTGTACCCAACGGCAATATGATGCCGACCTCTAAAATGTAGTGGATTAAAGTTTTTGCTGCCATGTGACTGATGAGATAAACATTTCTTTTGGAATGGTACATCTGTGTGCTCATTGCCAAGGAGTCACTACTTAGGTGTTGTTTATTCGTGGATTCATCAGTTCTTGGCTTCACACATAAAGGCAGTCAAAGGCTACAGCTAAAATGCCAGCAAAGTGAATATACGGCGTGCTTTGATGTGTTATCAACACAGTTGGCGTTGTGCCTAGTCGTCGTAAATAGGTAGACAGACCTCAGACATGGCTGTCAGATCTTCTGCCGTTAAGCATTCCACCATGCGTAACTGTGTCTGGAGTCTACACACCTGCACACAGCAGAGCCGTCAGGGAACTTAGTGGTGTGAGTCCTAGAATTGTGAGTGTACCGTTTTAAAATGATCAATGATTTGTACTTCTACTTAATGTCTTAAAATGGAAGTTTTTTTCCCATCACAAATTAGTATGCTAAGTCCCTTCTTTAAGTTACGTGGAAAAAAGTGGAGAACACATTGATGGTCCCTCAAATCTACTGTCATCTGCTGTCGGTTAATGGCAAGTGGCACCAGTTGGTTTAGCTTCCATCTCGACTTTATTTATCTATTCGGCGTGCTAACGAATCATTTATTCACAAAAGTCAAACTTAAGTGCAGGCTGTTTTGACACCCCATTCTAGAAGTAATTGGATTACCAAGGCCAAGTGTTTCCCCTTCATCACCATCAGTAGTAGTGAGGGCAACTTGCACAAAATCAGCCACCTATCTATCTGGCGGTGATTTGCAACCAGATTCACTCAGCTTGCTCAAAACACTTCTAAGTGCCGTATACGCATTTGTCATGAGGGCGGCGTTTGCAACTTTGCCAACAGGTTCAAATCACGTGCTCTGGGCTGAACCGACACAATTTGCTGACACTTAGTGTTGTGGGCGTTGGGGTGATGAGGGGGGTGGTGGCCTATAGCACTGGTGAACATGCCCTGATGTGTTTCTTCGAGTTTTGACAATTCATTACTGTATGTTGTGCCATTAACCGGGAATGTATGTAAGGCACTGGAAAATGAATTACGAACGCTGGGGTTAAACTTTGCATATTCCCGTTAACTGCTGCGCATCATTGGTAAATTTTCTCCTCACATGTCTTGCCAAATTAATCACACCGAAGTTTAATAAATTAATTGCCCTTGACTTGTTGTTAGTAGGGTGTATAATATCTCTTCAGTGGATGGTAGGGTGACACCCGGGGACTGGAATTTATGGCACCTCTTTTTCAATAGCCTGTCACCTTGTCTGTGACTTACGATTGCAAAGAAGGCAATGGATGGGGCGTATGTCCGCGTCAATTTTATTCCTCATTGGAGCAGCTACAGCTGCCATGGTTGTCTTGTGCAATGGTAGCTCTTTTTAATTCAACAAGGTATAGACAATGCCAGACACGACTGTAACTCTTACTCGCCTCGCTGACTATGCTTTCTTCGAACAAGAGCACTCCCAGCTGAGTGTGTATATGGTTAATTAAAGGGTGCAACTTCTTCTCCTCTGTGTGATGCATTAATGCCTTTGGTAAGGTCGTAAATGTACTTTTGCGACTTCAAGAGAAGACAATCTCATTAGTATCTGTCAAATGCTATATTGAATTGTGTGACACCGAGAAAAAAAATCTTGCTAGGAATTTCAAATCGTTTTCAGGAACTAAATGGCCATTTATCAAACACTTTTATTCTTTTGAAATTGTCCCAAAAAAACAACGTTTCAGCCATTTCTTGTTTAATTCGGCTGGTCACTTCATGACAAGATTTATACTTTTACAACTAATGGTTCTTTAATAAAACACCTTATAAGGTTCAATTTGAAAATGATCTCATTCAGGTGTTTTTATCTTCTTCCACGTTGCTATTGCATATCTTCTCCATTGCATGCAAATTTGAGTACTAGCGCGATTGATATTGTGATGGTCGAGGTGGCATGGTGACCAAGAGGAGATCTGGGGACGGCGCTTAAAGGTGGGGGCGATTTGTTTTATTCTATGTTTTGCTTTCGTGGCTACTAAAGGCTTCGTCTTTGTACTTCCACCAGGGCGGCTTGGCCTCTGACCCTCCCCTACGTCGACAGTAAGTGTTATACATTTTGTCTTTAAAAAGCACGATTTCATAAGGCTGGACAAATAAATTCCACTAGGGAGGTGGTATAGGCAAATAAATAAAATAAAATACGCTCATTTTTTACTATCACGCTGATGTGACTGACTCTTCTTGAATACCTCACCCCACAGGTTACGCTGTTCAGAGGGCGTAAATTATATTCCACAGACTGTCGCTTTGTCACAGAGTTAATCAGGTTGCTAAGTACGTTGCTTAGTCGCGCTACGCCAATCTCCGCGTCGTAAGAGTCATATACGTCATGTTAGATAGTCCTGGAGATTACCTTTTGTAGTTTCTTTGTTTCAAAAATCTCAGCCCTAAGGGCGCATTCTTTGCTGCGAGCTAGCAAAAAATCATTTACTTATTTAATCTAATGATGGATGGGCATTTGGCCTGAACGTCCCATAGGTGCAATGGAATTACCGGTAGTCAAGACACATCCATTAACTGTAGCGTTGATTTGATTGCATTCTCTCAGGAGCAATGATTTGTTGCATTGTTATACCATCCCACAGCACGTCAATCAACCATATTACTCCACTGGGGGTGGGGGGGGGGGGGGGCACAAGAAATTCCGAAAAGTTGAGCCACTCCTGAATGGGCGGTTAGCTCCAAGTGCATAGGAATGCAGTGGAGTTCACAGGGTGTTAGCATTCTAAACGAAACATAATTGTGGAGTTTTAAAAGGCAAGTAAGAAGATTAGTGGTAACTCGTGGAAGATTGGGAACAAGAGTGGCCAGAAGGCATCAAAGAGTGTATACGAGAGGTATTTTAATGGATTCTTAGTACTGGAGTTGGAAGTAATCCTCATTTGGGTTAAAAGGCACTGCTTAGAAAACTACAAGTACTTAGAGGTGGAGAATCTCATGCATTTTGCAAGTAAAACTCAGTTGCTTCCCTAGCTTTCTTTCCCACTTCGAAAGGGTAGTTGCTGCAATTAATGGGGTACACTTCACAGACACGAAAGCAGGCTCTAAACTCTGGATATTTCTTCACCCTCACAAATCCACTTCAGTTTTGCAGTAGCCCCCAGTTACTTAGGTATTCCTCACGCAATCACAGAACTGGGAGGAAGAGCTGGCGTAGTTTGGATCTAATCATTCGTCTTGAAGATGTGACATCGTAACAGATCTAACCAGCTTGTAGAATATACCGAAGCAGTTGAATTTCATTATCATCCGCTCCCTCACAATTTTACTTAATAAAAGAACTCAAATTTCTGCCTTTCCCACCAAAAGGGCACAAGTATGGAATTTGGCATTATTGACTCTTTGGCCTTTTGAAACATGGTAAAGATGCAGTTTAGGGTGCCTAGTCAGGACTTTTAGACAAATTTTTATGGTTCTACCTTTAATTATCGCCAATAACAATGCATCTTTTGATCTGCAAGGCCTTATGCAATAATCGGGTGTAACCTTGGGGGATTCTTGGAGGCACAAACTTGGAGCAGTGTGCTCTCATCAATCAAAGCGGCAATCAATTGCAAGAGCACAGTCAACACTCAGAGTGAGGTTACAGATACCTGCATCTGCGGTAGCTGCTTCACAGGAAATAAAGACTACTTTCTACCAATTCTTAAAAAGTTAAATCATTAGGATGATTTTTGCGTTTTGGTGGACTTTGTAAGAGGATGGATAGGAATGCCATATTTTTGACTTTGTTGCCGTCAAAATGTAGGTAATTGCATGCTTTGAAAAGTATATCATAAATTGAATTTACTCGACCAGCCTTGTCAAAAAGTCCAGCCCTTTGTCCAGTTTTCATTTTTAATAAATTGAGTAAAGGCAAGTGGACCATCTGCTTATATTTTGAATGCCACCCAAATTTCATCATTACTTAAGAAGAGAGGATGAGTGAAAACCCTAGCTCCATTTGCAAGTTACCAGTAGTTTGCTCACTTTGATGCTACGTTACTCATGTCTGTTGGAGAGGTGTAGGCTATAAATCACTTGGGTGCTCAAAGTAGGCTATTGACAAATGAAGCAAAAGCTATAATCTTTTAATCTGCTGGAGGCAAAATGCCCAGTCTTAGCAAACTAATGACGGGATAGCCAATAGAAACAACAAAACGCCTACTGAATTTCTGAGTAAATGCATATCATATAAAAGGGGTTTTTATTGTTTGAAAATACTACTACAATAAAGTAGTTGCATTGACTTAATAAGCTTTGTCATTTAAGGTAGACACTAGGTGTGTGCGTGTGTCACTTTGCAGATTCCTTCTAGAACCTTCTGTAGGTCACAGCTAGGTAGTAATTGGTAGCCCTTCTGTTGTGAAGGGTGAAATTGGTGAGACTTCTTTTTGCTCCAAATGCAACGGCGAGGTGTGATTTAATTAGCCATTTTGATAGGCAGCTCCTGCATTACTTCTTCTCTGTGTTGAAACACGAGACGGATCAATTTGCCAAAACTTAGTGGGTAATAAGAGGGGAAGGATGTTACCGCAGTGGTAAAATACACTATTTTAATCAGAAATATATGTGACGAAATTTACTCCAGGTTGAAATTACACGATGGACTAATGAATGACCATTATAAGCGCTTATTGGCCGCAAAAAGAGCAGGCATTTTGTACTACTTTTATAAGCATAAGTATTATGTCTTCTTTTGTCCTCAGGGAAGTCTCAAGGCTCTACTAATTGCCAGAGTGCTATTAAGTACACCGATGTCCCCTTAAAAAAAAAGAATTTATGTCAAGAAGATGACTTGCTTTATTACCATTATTTTTTAAAAGCAGAAAGAAAGTTCCAGTTGCATTTATCCAATCATTGACTGAATTCGGAAAACGTCTCACCGGCATGCAACAGAGTTTATGACTGACTTGGATAAATAAGACTCCTGCTTCTGGACGAATGTAGAGACCATGGATATTGAGGGGACTGGGTGTTTTAAATGTTTATTCAAAGGCCTAATTATTGCAACCTTTCAACTGTCCTTAGGTAATCTTTCATAAACTCCTAGATTTACCCAGACCTGAAAGTGACCTTTCCTTTACCATATAATTTCACCACTTATAGAGACTACAAGACAAAGTGGTGAAACTAGTGTTCTCTTCCCGCACCCCGAATATTTACAAATTTCGCATCTAACTTTAGAGCTGAAAAGTCATCTTTTCCTACCTTTTACGTCCTAAACTAACATTAATGGGATAACTTCTTACCTTACGCTAACGAACAGGAGGTTAAAGCCATAATTTACTGAGAAATGGTGCTTAAAATATTTATGTACAATTAAGCAAGATATTGTTGTGATCAAACGGTGCAGGCCTTGGTGCTGGTGCTAGTTGAGGCAACGAAATGATCTTGCATGGCAGAGCAAGCAAAGCTTGGGGGGAGAGGGCGGAGGGAAGAGGTTGATGGCCTCCTTCGTGCATGTGACCTTCCCCCTAGACGCACTTAAGGCAGGTAATGAAACCAAGGTTAAACGGCAAAAAAAGGTCCCATTCGTATGCGCTTGTTTAGAGCTGACATGGAAATAACCTTGAAGTTAATGGAATTATGAACATACAAAACGATAAGGAATAACTATATCTTTTAAAAAAGGATGTGAATTTAGCTTTAACATTCTTTTTCATGTCAAAGTGCAGGATCCCATTTTGGTTAAAAGGTAAAATTACAATATATCTTGTTTGAGCCTACTTCATCCCCTCTCTATGGCAAAGCAGCTACCCCTTAATCAAGGCGAAACAATTCCACGTTCTTCCTACCCGTATACTGACTAAAAAACCTTTTGCCATCTTTTACGACAACCTGACAATTGTACATATTGTGGGAAAAAGGACAAGTTATTAAAACGTGGAATCAGACATTTGTGGGTTTATTTTAAACGAAACACGCGAGAATACTAATGCCAAAACGGTGTCATTAGGAAGGAAGCGGAAAGGTGAAAGAGTAACTAAATTCCACCGGCATTTATCGCAAATTGATGCCGCGGGAAGCATGTCTGCGATTGGATCTGTGTTTTCGACCGGAATGGTATTTGTCTGATTTAGACGATGATGAACCGGAGGAGGACAAAGATGCTGACGAAGAACTCCTCCTTGTAATCCTCCATGTCGTGACATTTACATTCGCACTAGACGAAGAACTGGAAGAACTGGAACTTGAGAAATTGCGCCTTCTTGAGCCCGGCCCAATGCTGTATGCTCTTGGTGTCAACTCAGTTAGACGGCTCCTGTTTCGAGTGGCGTAGTTGGACATTCTACCGTAGCTTTGTCTGCGTCCGACTGGTCGGTCACTCAGCCATTTGGTAGCAATACTCTCGCTAGACGAACTGCTGGATAAGCTGCTACTACTGCTGCTGCTACTGCTATGACCACGCGCATTCGATGCATAATAATACAT